CCAGAGTTTGGAGTTCACCTACAAGGCGGAGAACAGCTTTTGGAAACAAGCAGCTTTGAATAGGTTTTTGCAGCACAAGCCTTTAGCCATGGAGGAAGGTGCTGCACTAGAGTAAACCAGGAATCAATGTAAGGGAACTGATCCGAGTGTCCTAGTGACTCAGTAACAACCTTCCAAACTGCCTGAACCAAGGCAGGTTCCAGGGAGCCCTCAGAGGGCCAGCCCACACCAAAAGAGGGCCACCCAAGGTCACAAAAAGTGAGGAGTTTGTCCTTTGACAATTTCACTCCATAATCATCAGAAAATCCTGAGGAAAAATTTCTAAGCATGCAGACCGGGGGTGTAACAGGTTGTGATGATGATGACCCCATGGTAGAGAGATTTAGGGCAAGCAGGAGATGCCCAAGAATAGGAGCTGCAAGAACAAATAAAAAGAAAAGAAGGGCCAGGGATTTAGTTCAGTGGTTTTGCCACATGCTGCGCAAGTGCAGGGACCCGAGTTTGATCCCCGGTACCAAAAAAAAAAAGAAAGGAAAAGAAAAGAAGACAAAGCAGTGTGAGGGAGAGGATATCAAAAGGGTTGCTGGTTAGAGGGGCCTGACAGTACATCAATTGGGGGTTAAAGGAAAGGACCAGGACTCCTGTATCAATGTTGAAGGCTCAGAAGCCACTGATGTTTCCACTGGAGAAAGGTGAAGAGGCTTCAAAATGCTTACTCCTATAAGGGTTGTAGGATACCCTCAACTGCAAGGTCAACAATGGTCCAGGGTTCAAAGGGAGGGGAAAAAATGTCTTTAGTACAACAAAACCATCAATGGTCAGAGGATGTCCTCAAAATTTGGTTTAAGGAGTCAAAAACCCAGGAGGGAAAGCAGTGATGAACATAGGCAGGGGCCACCCAAGACGGAGGTCAATAAAAAGCAGATGAGTGAGAACTGACTGAATTAAATATTCACCTGTGCTTGGCTGCGCACAGGACACAAGGAAGACAGAAAGGTGACAAAAGAGATGGACCAGAAGACAAGACTCAAAGTTGGGCTGATCCCAAAACTGAAAGGCCCCTCCATAATGCCAGTTAGTCACCCTTGGGTCAAGGGAAGAATCCCGAGGACATCGGCCCAGAAGATAGAGAATTTGGCCCTGTGGCAGCCAGTGAGATCTATCCCAAAATATGATGTGTGAGGCACAGAAGGGACAGTGCTGGGGAGGATAAGACTGGGCGGTGGGGGGGAAGCAGTCGGGGGAGTCCCAGCTGCAAGAGGTCAGTTGAAATTTGGAGAAAGAAAGCAGGTCCAAGTGTTCGAGGACAGTGGGGGTGACCAGACAAAAAGAAAAAGGGCTTAGTGTTTATGTGGTTCACCCTTGAACAACGTTTCAACAGACAAAGGGAGCAGGTGTTTGTCTGTGGGAGGAACCACTCTGTTGGTCGACTGACCTCGGGCCTCTCAGCCACTTTAAGGACCATCCAGGCTGTAGGGTGTATTTATCTCATTGAAAGAGCACCCACTTGGCCTCTCTTAGATGTGTCCACAGAACCACAGTATGTCCCCAAACAAATCCCATAACTCTGATGGGGGAATCCCCTCCTTTGACATAGGACACAGATGGAATGGTCCATTGTTTCCACTGCCTGTTGCCAGTCATTCAATCATTCACAGAGCAATCATTCAGAAGTTAAAGATATTTATTTCAACCCTATACCTGGGGATTTACCAGACTGGCTTACAGCCAGACCAGACCAGGGGGCCACCTCAGTCAGTGTCCTGACCTTATGGAGGGGCCCAGGGTATGCCTTCATCAAGGACTACTGCTCCCCACCAGAACCAGAAGGACCCTTACCAGACCAGATGGCCTTCAGAAAATTTGGAGGGCTTCTCAGGCATCTCTGGAGTCCCTTCAGTCTTGGCAGTGACACTATGGGCCCTGGAACGTCTCAGGGGGTGCATCCCCTATAGTTTGCTGCTGCAGATGGGAGGAATTACAGCAAGGCCAGTCCACCCATTGTGGCCATCTCGCTGGGGCCTGCATCTGTTGTGGATGAGTGAGTTTGGACAATAGAGATGTGCCACATTCTGTGCCAGATTCAAGCCTATTTATTATAGCTGGCGGCTGGGGGGGGGGGGCTAACGCCCTAGAAAGCTTCCTCAGTAATATAAATCAGTTTGACTTCTTCTTTTAAATCATGCTTTCAGTTGGGGAGGGCTCAGGAGAGAGCAAGCAGAATCTTACAGAAGCAGAATCATGCCGGGTTAGTGGGGGGTACAAGGAAGTTTTACACACACACTAGGTGAGCTCCAAAACATCCTGCAACCACAGCAAGTTTACTGCCAAGTAGGTGTGGGGGTTTTGAGTGCTTTGTTCATGTGCAAGCACTTTGTTCAAGCACAGGTACAAAGTGACATTGAGGCACAAGATGGAGTTAGGTTGGCTATCACCATCTATTATTTCTCTTGATCCTCACAGTATCTGTGAGAAGGAAACGTGCTTCTCCCCATTTTACAAATGAGGTAAGTAAGGGTTGGAAGCACAGCACCAGTGTCCTGGCCATATAGTTCATAAGTGGCAGAGACACATCTTAGCTTCTGGTCTTTGCTCCCCATATGTGAGGAACAGCTTCAGATGTTCTTCTATAAGATGAAGAATCCAACATATAAGCCCCTGCTTGCTCTTATTTTGATTGGAAGTTTTTTTTTTAAATGCTCTAATTTAAACTGGCTTAAGCAAAAGCTGAATTTATTGGCTCAGCCTAACAGAATGATGCAGGAAGTAGTGCTCAGGTACAGTTGGACCCAGATTCTCAAACTGTCATCACGATGCTCTCTCCATTTCTTAGCTTTCTTGTGTTGACCTTATTCTTAGACAAGCTCTCTGCCTGGGGTATCAAAGAGGTCCCCTACTGTAGGGAACAGGGAAAGGGGACATTACCAGAACGCTTGCAGTGAGTCCTGGTCTCCTGTGAGCCACAACTGCACAAGGCAAATTAATGAATGAAGACAGGAAAAGACTTAGAAAAGAAGCTGAGCTTTGGGCCTGATCAATGCTGCTCTAGGCTTCAAAGATGAAGGCACCCCGAGCTTGCCACACCTTTATTCAGTATAGCAGGAGTAACAGATGACTCAGAGGGCAGCAGTGATCCCAGGATAATGAGGAATTATGCTGATGAAGATCCTAGGTCAATGAGGAACTTATGCTGATTAGTAATTTGTCCCTTCCCAGGTAAAACCTTTCTCTTATTACTTGGTTCTCAAGGAACCAGGATATCTTCAGCTGATGCAATCTTGTCCTGAGTAAGATGGCACCACTGCACCATTGAGGTTTTAGCTGTGACTGGAGGCAAAACTGGAGTTCTGTCTCAACACGCCATAGCTGGCCTGTAGGCAGAACTAGGGCCAATCACAATTTAATTGTGAAATGATTTTTCCCCAAAATTATGTAGAATTGCTCCCAACACCATACTAGCAGTAGCTTACAGTAAGCCATCAGAAAGGAAACACTTCTTACTGAACTACAACTGTCTTGGGTATCATTCTCAATTACTTGGCCTAGGCTGAGGATCAACCCGAGAACCAATTATTGCGCCCAGCACAAAGGTGTACTCTTCCTGTCCAGACCTGATCCCTCGCCACAGAGAGAAATATGTGGTATGTGCTCTACCAAACCCAGGACCTGAGTGAGGAGGGAAAAGTTCTTCAAAGAGAAACACTTGTCAGACATGGTGCGAGCAGAATTTCATAGAACTGTACTCTGCAGAGAGGAACTGGGTATTCATCTCAGTAAGAACTTGTAATGAATTTACAACACACACACCCCCACTGCCTTTCCAGCTCAGGACTCCGCACTGCAGGGCTCTCAGGAGATGGCCAGGATGCCCTTCCTAAAGCACGAGTGATGAGGAGACCAAATTTACAGTGTGTCTGTGTGTAGGCCCTGGTTGGGATGAACTCACACAGGCCCGAGGTTCCAAACTAGTGGAGGACAGAAAACAAGTCTTGGAAGGGTGGCACCAGTGTCCTGGGCCTGCAACTGAAATAAGACCAAAATAAAACCCAACTCTCATTAACTATCACCACCGTTTCTTAGAAGGAATGGATTTTTATACTAAGAAGGAAGTACCGATTTCAGAAAATTTCCCTCTCACCTGGAAAAAATCATTTGGCAATATTATTATTTTTTTTCCAGATTGATGTAAATTTCAACAGATCTCTGTATGGGGTCCACTGTTTGGGACCCACTAACACAGAATGTACACGTGCACACACACGCACACGTTTGTATCTGTGAAGTGGGGCTAATATGCCCACTTTACAGACAGAGGAACAGAGGTTTAGAGCGCTTGGGCGCAAGATCCCAAACCAAAGAGTGTTCCAGCAGGAAAAGAAACGCCGCACGCTCCTCTCTGCTCGACAGGGCGCCTAGTCCAGGTCCAGCCTGGCCTTCGCAACTCTGCTTGCTCCGAAGCGTCTCAGTGCGCGGCTCCCGGCCCAACGCCGGGAGTCCGGGGCAGGAACCAACAACTTCCCAGCGCCCTTCTCTCGTGTAGGTGGGGATAGGCCCCAGGTCCCGCTTCTCAGCCCGTCCTGTACTGGCGACTAAGGAATCCCCGCTGCTGGCGTAGGCTGCCTAGTTTAGGGGTTCTCTCTCTGGGGTGTTGACAGTTTCCTAGGAGACTCTGGGATCCTTCACCACCTCTGAGACCCGAAGGCCTGGCAGCGCGGCGGTGCGGCTCCAGCGCAGTCACGGGTGCCCAAGCGCAGACCTAGGCGAGTCAGCTCCCGCCGCGTCCACGCCGCGCTCAGCCTCTCTATCTCCGCGGGGCTTCGTGGGGATCCCCCACACCCGGCTGGAGGGAGTCCCCGAAACCAGGCCGGCTCCGGGGGCGGGCGCGGCGGGGCAAGGGAACCCCGGACCGCGCGCCCCTCCCCCGTCTCCCTCCGCGAGCGCGCGCTCGACCGCGCGGAGCCGAGCGCGCGCCGGCCCGGCCCGGGAGCGCGCGGAGCAGAGCAAGATGGAGGCCGCGCCGAGGCCACCGCCTGGGCCCGGGCAGCCGCCGCGCCCGGTACCGCCGAGCCCCGGCGCCTAGGCCTAGCCATCCGGACCGCTGCTCGCCCGGCCCAGGTGGGTCTCCCGGCCCCGCGCCGGCCGCAGACGGCCTCCCCGGCCTGGGCCCCGCTCCCGGCCCGGAGCACCCGCCGCCGCCCGGCCCAGCTGCCCAGCCCGCACCCCGGCTCCGAGCGCCCCCGCAGCCCCCGCCCCGCCGCCTGGAGCGGACCGACCCCACGCTGACCTCCGAGACCCCCGGGGGCGCCCGCCGCCCCGTGCTGACACCCGGCGCAGACCCCTGCCGGACACCCCGGTGCTGCTCCCCCGCCCCAGCGCCCCAGCGCCCCAGCGCCCCAGCCCTTCAGACCCCAGCCGCCCGAGTCCCCATCTCGGCCCTGTGCCTCCTCCTGCCCCTTCCGCGCGGCCCTCTCCCAGGGCCCGTGGATCTCTGCCAGCCCCACCCCCGACACCGCCCACACCCCCGGCCCCCCGGCCCCCCAGCCCCCAACCCGGCCCGGCTCCGCCCGGCCCCGCCTCGCGGCCCTGACTTGGCCTCTCCGTGCGTCCCCAGCTCGCACCCGGGGCCGGCGGCCGGTCCCGCCCCCGGCACCATGCTGCCCTCGCAGGAGGCCTCCAAGCTGTACCACGAGCACTATATGCGGAACTCGCGGGCCATCGGCGTGCTGTGGGCCATCTTCACCATCTGCTTCGCCATCATCAACGTGGTGGTCTTCATCCAGCCCTACTGGGTGGGCGACAGCGTGAGCACTCCCAAGCCTGGCTACTTCGGCCTCTTCCACTACTGCGTGGGCAGCGGGCTGGCGGGCCGCGAGCTCATCTGCCAGGGCTCCTTCACCGACTTCAGTACCATCCCGTCAGGCGCCTTCAAGGCGGCCGCCTTCTTCGTGCTGCTCTCCATGGTGCTGATCCTCGGCTGCATCACCTGCTTTGCCCTCTTCTTCTTCTGCAACACGGCCACGGTCTACAAGATCTGCGCCTGGATGCAGCTCTTGGCAGGTAGGGGAAGCCGGGGCTGGGGCACCTTCTTGGAAGAGCAGAGAGAGGTGCTGCTTCTCCGAGCTGAGATACTCACTTCCCTGGCGACCCTCATCAGCTCCTCGGAGGAGATTCCGTGAGAGACACTTTAGAGCTGGGAACAGAGCCTTAGAATTGGGTATTTGGGCCCGTATGCTTGGGTATGGGCAGAGTGCTGGTGGGTTAGCATTATGTTAGCATCTACACAGGTCTCTATTGGCTGTGTTTGTGGAAATGTTTTGTGAATGAGGGGTAGGTATTAGGTATAATTGACTTCTGTTGCATAGGAAAAAGCATGAGGAATTGAGGTCTGGCTGGGATCTTTAACTCGCTGACATTATCAACTTGGATCTTTCACTTTACTTCTCTAAGGTTTGGTTTCCTCGTCAGTAAAACAATGGAGAGGATTACAGAGGACAAAGGAAAGAGGATCTGGTAAACTTTAAAGTCTTGTAATAAGGGGAGTATCTATGGCGTCTGTTCAAGATTGGGTGGTTGGTGGCCCTTGGCAATGGGGTCTTTAGAGGAAAGGTTCCATCCTTTCAACCCCTCCCCAACATGCAAGAAGGAGACTGATGCCATGCCCGTGGGAATGAGTCCCTGGGACTTCCTGCAGTGTCGGGCCTAGACAGTCTTCTTGCTCTTTGAATCAGTAAAAGGCCTTTGGGAATGAGAAATACTGAGGCAGGTTTCCAGGATCCATTAGAGCCCCCTGCCCCCACCCACCATTCCATCAAAGACAGATTTTGAAGACTCAGCAACATGGGTATTTGCTAATTGTAGGCAGGGAAGGGTGTTGGACTGGGAAAGTGGGGCCAGGGGACAGCAAGATGGTGAGTGGTAGGGGAAAGTTTGGAGGAACCTAGGAATGAGAAAGAGAGGAGAAAATGTGAGTAAGGCCTCAGAGGCGATCTTTTACAAACAACACCCCAGAGTATTCCACAGGTGTTGAGCCCTCCAAAAGAGACCCCGGAGGAGGTGCTACATCTCTGGCTGGTGATTCCACTACTCAGAGCATTGCAGGGAGCTGCTGTGCAGTGTGGAGTGTGTCCTTCTAGACATCCCTACTGAGGGGGAGCTCCGCCTTTGGAACTGATGGGAAGATACTCAGGGTCAGATGTCAAGAATATGGGGCAATCAAACTGAGAACTGTCATGTGTGATGAAAGCCAAGATGTGGAGTCAAGGTAATGGCCCTGAGGTGCTTACCCAAGGGGACTTCTACATGTGTCAAAGGAATCACCACCCCATTGAAAAAAGGACTCAGATTCCTGAAAGGCCTTCTGGAAGAAGGTGGCATGTGTCCAGATGTGGATGTGCCAATGGCATGTTGCAAATCCGTCTCACTCCACTTAATTTCTGCGTGGATCTTTCAGGTTCTTTGAGGGGAAGAGGATTGTCAGATGTGAGGGGTCTCTCCACCTTCCTGCATGGTATCCAGAGAGGTGACAGTGTGTGTTTCCATCTATTTTTCATCCGGAGTCAAGCTGGAAAGGATATGCTCACCTGGAGCCCCCTGTTCATCAGCCTGAATTTGGAGTCTGCAGATGGGTTGTTGACCTTGTGGCCTTCAAATTCTCTGTAATCCCTGTGGAATTAATCTTAGGGATTTAATGAAATGTTCAATAACCTTCATGTAGCCATTGGATTTCAGAGACCTTAGCCATCAGCTCCTTCAAATTCTGCCCAAATTCTCTCCCCTTACAGCAAGAGAGGAAACTGAGTGTAGAGAGTGAAGGGGTCACTCAGCCTCACACAGCCAGCAAGGAAGGAATCATATTGAAAGTGCCAGCTTTCCTAACATTGGCCTGGAGCACTTTCCCTTCAATTACTTCCCCTGCCCTGAGGGTTGAGGGTCAGAGTTGAACAGTTTATTTTATTTTGCTTAGAGATTTCTGAGTTCTCTGGCTTAGTGTCTGATTTACTGTGCTTCATAGAGTAAATATGCTTAATAGGCACAGGACAGGGCACAGGGCACTGGGATGGAAATTGTGACTCACTCCTCCTGTGTCTCACCATATACCATAAGACTTTTTAGTTAAATCTCAGTTTTCCCATCTGTACAGTGGGGGTGTGGGGAGTTGGGGATTAGTTGACCTGAAGTGCCCTTTTCAGCCTTGTGGGCTCCTCACACCACTCTTTCATCAAATCCATTCCACTGAGAAAGTGAGCTTCCAAGGAATTGCAGAGAAGCAAAGGGCTTCATTTGTGTCTCATGAGAATTCAAATGCCTGTCATGTGATTCTTGTTTCTTTGAACTTTTATTTCGTATTTGAGTGCAGAATACTGGACCACTGGGAAAATACAAAGAGATATCATTTATTTGTTTATTCCTCACTGTTCTGTGGTCATAGAGCTGGATGCTACAGTACTGACACACGTAAGCTATCACCTCTGACCCAAGAACCTGAAGTCTATAAAATACAGTCCCTACCCCTAGGAAACTGACCATCATGCTGGGTCACTGTGTTTATCAGTAATCTTCCAGTGACAAGTGGAAAACTCAATGTAAACTTGCTTAAGTAAATGAAAATAAAATAGAGGGTAGAGTTTTTTGATTCATATAATTTGAAGGCCCAGTGTGAGACCACAGGCATGCATAGATCCAGAAGCTCAAATAATGTCATGAAGAATCTGTCTTCATTTTTTATTCCTCTTGTTCACTCATGTTAAGTCCATTTCCCTTTTGAAGGTGACAAATAGGGCCATTGGAAGCTCTGGACTTACACTGCTTTGACTTATGTTACATAGCAATACCTGTGGAAGAAACATGATTCTAGTGAAATTGGAATGTTGACCAGCATTTGCCAAATGTCCACTTTTTTCCTTTTTGTACTGGGGATTGAACTCATGGTCTCCACGCTGACATACATTCCCGGTGCTTTTCACTTGTTATTCTGAGACAGGGTCTCATTAAGTTGCCCAGGCAGGACTCAAACTTGTTTCCCTTTGGCCTCAACCCCTGTGTACTGGGATTATAGGTGTATGAAACTGTACCCAGCTGCCAAGGGTCTCCTCTTGGTAAGTCATGGTGATGTAGTCTAAGGCCTGAGCCAGGTGCCCTTCTCAGATAGTGAAGGAAGGTCAGTTCCCACAAAGGTACATTTTGGGCGATGACCAGAAGAGGGGCACTGTGGGTAGGGAACCTGCAGCACTACACCTGCCTGTGGAAACCCAGAGCAAGAGAGGACTGTGGCTTGGGGAGAATGAGGCAGTGCTGACAGGTGTGGGTGTGGGAGAGGTAGGTCGAGGGCAAGGAACAGAGGGGAGGAGGCCACCTTGGGCTTGAGTGTGGGGTCTATTCAGGGGAGCATCAGGGGAAGGCAGGAAGGGGATGAGAAGGAACAAGGGCCTCAGTGTACCTGGCCGAGAGAGTTTGGACTTCAATCAGCAGGCAGTCAGAAGCTACTATAGCTGTTACTATTACTCAAGAGAAGTGATTAATGTATTCTGAGCCCTTACTACATCTAAACATTTGACACACAGAATGTTATTTAATCCTTACAAGAATGCTATGGAAGAGGCAGTGTTGTCCTATTATATACATGAGAACAGCCTCAGAAGGGAGAGCCTCATCTGTCCAAGCTCACATGGGAGAGTGGTGGAGCCAGAGTTGTAGCTTGGTCTTCCTGACTCTAAAGCCAAGTTTGTGGTTCAGACAGGACTGATGGGGAGGATGGTGGCGGGGCCTTGCTGCCAGGATGCTGAGTGGAGGCTGAAGAGTTGGTGGCCATCTATGGAGCGGGGCTCAAATTTTCAGGGTTCCTCAGGGCATCTCAGCTACTCTTTCACCTGTTTGCTTGAGTTTTTTGAGGGCACACAGGGTGCCAGCCTCCACATCTTGCTCCAAGGCCACACCACTTGTCCAGGAGAGGATGGAGCTGGAACTCAGTACAAGTTGACATGGCTCTGGAGCCTGTTCTTGCCACTGAGCCAGAACCTGGAAGTGAATCCATGACAAGTCATGGCCAACTCTCCATGTGTTGATGACATGTGGGCTGGCAAGGTCAGCCAAGGGCAGACCCCCACCCCCACCCCAGCACAGGTCAGCTACAGCCTCGGGAGGCTGAGAGGGTGCAGTGGGGGCTCTGCCACTGCTTCACTGTGTGGTTTTGAATAAGTGTGCCTGCCTTTCTGATCTGTTTCCTCATCTGTGAAATCATTGAAAGCTCTAAAAGGTTTGCCAGCACTGGCCTAGAGTAATTTAGAGCACATCCACATTCTCCATTTTCTTAGGTCTTGTTTCAGATTCAGATTTTACCTATCTAGTAAACTTTGTTGTATGGGCTGGGGATTTAGCTCAGTGGTTCCAGCGCCTGCCTTGCAAGCACAAGGTCCAGAGTTTGATCCCCGGTAACTTCGTTGTATGTGCATGACACTGCTAAGCACAGTGAGGACATTTTTTTTCTCCTCCTTTCTCTTCCTCTCTCCCTCCCTTTTTCTTCTTTTCTCAGCCTCTTCCTTCCTTCCTTCCTTTTTCCCTCCTTCCTCTTCCCTTCCGGCCTTCCTACATTTTTGCTCCTCTCTCTCCCTCTCTCCAGGAACCCCTTCATTTCTTTCTCACATCACCCCTTTCCTGAAGGCCTTCCGGTGTGTCAGCCCTGTGCCTGGCTCCAGGAATCCTGAGTACAAGAGCTTGCTGCTTGGTGCTAGGAGTCTATGCAGGAGAGGCAAACAGCAGATCTGAGTGCTATGGAACATGCAATGCCTGAGTCCTATGCAGGGTGCTCTGGGACATGGAGGGGTTTCTAACACAGCCAAGGATAGCCGGAGGGTCTTCCCAAAAGGGCAACAAAATTAGAGCTGAATCTTTTTTTTTTTTTTTTTGTGGTACTGGCAGTTGAACTCAGGACCTTCGCACCCAGTTATATACTCAGCCTTCCTTCTACTTTTTATTTTTATTTGTTTATTTATTTTTCAGTCATGTTCTTGCTAATTTTCCAGGCTGGGCTTGAATTTGTACTTCTCCTGCCGCACCCTCCCTCAGGACTGGGATTACAGGTGTGTGCCAGCACACTTGGCTTGAACAATGCTTTTTTACATAAACAGTGTAGAGTGTTAGTTGTCTATTGGTCCATAACAACTTGCCACAAAGCCTACTTGTGGCCAAAAGCAACTAGCATTTATTATGTTTCCTTCTTTGTCTTCTCATGTATTCTCTTGTTTTTTTACCAGTGGTGATTGAATTTAGGGGCACTCTCTCACTCAGCTACTCCCCAGCCCTTTTTATTTTTTATTTTATTTATTTATTTACTTATCTATCTATTTATTTATTTATTTATTTTGGTACCAGGGATGGAACTCAGGACCTTGTGCTTGTGAGGCAGGTGACAGAACCCCTGAGCTAAATCCCCAGCCCTTATTTTTGTTTTGAGACAAGGTCTTGGTAAATTGCTCAGGTGGGATTCGAACTTGTGATCCTCCTGCCTCAGCCTCTCTCTATTTTGGGATCACAGGTGTGTGTCACCATGCCCCCTTATTCCTGTTTCTGGGAGTCACAGGAATTTGGGAGCCGCTTAGAATGGGAATGGGGGGTACTGATTCAGGATCTCTTGTGAAGTTGCAAGCAAGACTTTAGCTGGGGCTATAGTTGTCAGAAGTTCACTAAGTGCGTTCTCCTGAGTGTTGGCAGACCTCAGAATGCGTGATCTGAGAGAGAAATCAAATGGAAGAAACCACAATGCCTGCCTCCCACTTTGAGCAACAACTTTATTGAGATATAATTCATATGCCATGAAGTGTGCACATCTAAAGTGAACAGTTCAAGGTTTTAGTGTATTCATACAACCATTGCCACCATCAATTTTAAGCTATTTTCATCATCTTGAGAAGAAACTTTGTACTAACCCTTTAGCTATCACCCTGTAATTCCTGACCACCTGTTCTCCCTGGTCCCACACAAGCACTAACTTGCTATCTTACGCTATACGTTGCCCATTCTGGACATTTCATATAATGAGACCAGATAATACATGGTCTTTGTGACTGGCCTCTTAGCACAGAGTTTCAAGGCTCATTCATGTTGTAATGTGTGTCAGAATTTCATTCCTTTTTTGCCAAATAACCTTCCATTGTATGGCTGTACCGCACTTGGGTTACCCATTTATCACCGGATGGACATTTGGGTTGTTCTCACCTTTTAGCTATTGTGAATAGTGCAGTGAGTTACTGTATGAGTTTTTGTGTTGACACAACTGGTGTATGTGTGAGGGTGTGTGGCACTGGGCATTGAACCCAGGCCCTCAGGCTAGGCCAGACCTCTACCACTGAGTTCCATGCCCAACCCCTTAAGTTAACTTTTGTCTGTTATAAGTATGGGCCCATCTTCATCTGGCTCCAGTTGTCCAAGCACCAGTTATTGAAAAGATCATCTTTTCTCCACTGAATGATCTTGGTATCCTTGTCAAAAGTCAGTTGGCCGGGCTTGGTGGCACATGCCTATAATCCCAGCACTCAGGAGGCTGAGGCAGGAGGATTGCTGTGAGTTTGAGATCAGCCTGGGCTACATAGTGAGACCCTGTCTCAAAACAAACAAACAAACAAACAAAAAGCCAAAAACGTCATTTGACCTAGATGTCTGGGTTAAATTCAGGACTCAGTTCTATTCCTCTGATAGATGTTTATGGTGGAACCAGACTGTCCTTATTATTATTGCACTGTAGTCAGTTTTGAAAGCAGGAGTACGAGTGCTTTAACATCATTCTTCTGGCCATCACACTGCCTTTAATGTCCTGCCCTCAGACAGCACATACCATCCCTTCTGCCACATTATCTTGGTAGAAATGAGTTACTAAACCCAGTCATAGTCAAGGAGAGAAGAACTAGGCTCCTCCTCTAACAGAGAATTTGTGGACATGTTTCCAAACCACCATGAACAGGTAACGTACTAAACACTTGGCCATATGTCTTGCTGTTTTTATTCAATAATACATCTTGGAGATTGTTCAATATTAGTGGATAAAGACTACTTCTTTCTTAACAGCTCTATAATAAACTTTCGTATAGATGCATAATCATTTAATGAATTAATATTTGTTTACAATAGCAATGCCCCAGTAAATAATGTATAAAAATAAGTTGAAATATATATAAATAAAAGAATAGTATAAAGCCTTTACAGAAGTTGCTGGATTGAATGGTGCATGAATTTACAGTTTGATAGATCTAGAAATAATACTGTCCACAGTGGCAGTTCCTGTTCCTCTACAGCCTTGCGAAGTAAGTGTGTTATGTTAAATACTATATTTTATTTTTCTCAACCAGATGGGTAAAGAAGACCTTTCAGCTGGATGTGGTGGTGCATACTTATAATCTCAGCTACTTGGGAGGCTGAGGCAGGATGATATGTAAGAGGATATATAACCTCTTATATAGGTTTTTCTGCAAACTATAATTTCTTAAATATTTGATCAAGTCAGTGGTATTTGTAAGAACTTTTTTTTATTCAAGGTCTTACTATGTAGTTTGGGCTGGCCTTGAACTCACTACATAGCCCAGGCTGGCCTCGAACTTGAGATCCATTTGCCCCAGCCTCCTAAGTACTAGGATTACGGGTGTGTGCCACCACATCCAGTTTGAACTTATTTTTTTCATTTTTTTTTTGTGATACAGGGGCTTGAACCCATAGCCTTCACACTGTGCTACGTCCTCAGCTTTTCTTTTATTTCATATTTTGAGACAGGGTCTCGCTAGATTGTTAAATTGTGCAGGCTGGGCCTGAACTTGGGATCCTCCAGCCTAAACTGCCCAGAGTGCTGGGATTCCACAGTGTGTCTCTGTGCTCAGCTGGGCTCTTTAGGTATTAGGTGTTGGCCCTTTATGCAGTGTGTTACAAATACTGTTTCCCAGTTTACCTTTGGTCTTTGTCTATGGATTTTCCCCCATGGTGAAATTCAGCTTTTCTTAACATAAGCAGATGATCAATTCCCTTTTACAGCCCCTGGGTTTAATGTTATACTAGAAAAGCCCCGGAGTGTTTGAGCATGGGAGAAACACACTCAGGTGTAGTTGTTAGGAAGAAGGAGGTTTGCCAGGGGTCCAGCGGAAAAGGGCTGGACTACTCTTGTTCTGACATTTTTTTTTTTTAATATCACATTGTTTCTCTTGTGTTAACAAGGAGCAAAATAGAGGATAGATATTAGGAAGTAGGAAGAACTTGTTCAAATGGAAAGGGAGAGAAAGGAGGTGGGGAAAAGGAAGGAAGGGAAAAGGGATTTTTTTTAAAGAGAGAAAATAGAAGGAAAATGTGGAACCAGAACCTTTGTAAATGGGGAGGAGAAGAAGGGTTGACGGGAGGGGAATGAGGAAAGAAGAATCAAGATCTATCATGTACAGGTACAAAGTCCCCATGGTAAATGTGATGATTATGTATTATAAAAGAAATACTAATAAAAAAATAAATGGATTTTTAAAAAGAAGGCCTGGAGATGAAGCACAGTGTGCAGTCCCTGGGCTCAGGGACCCCAGTACCACTACAAAACTCTTATGATAAAAGTTGATTCATTCTCTAGTGTCTCATTTTACAAGAGTTTGAAGGAATTGCCAGCAGTTTTCTCTAGGAATGTTCTGACGTCTTATTTTTATCTTTATCTTTCGATTCCTCTTTCATGTTATTCATCATTATTAACTCGACTTTTAATTCCAGAGCAGTTTTATGGTATAATGAGTCTTGGATCAAGAGGTTGTACCTGGTACATATTGGGTGCTTAATGTCTACTGAGTAAACAAATGAATGAGTGACATCTGATTTAAATCATAACTCCACCCTCCACTCCCTTCACAGTAGCTTGGTTCGGTTGTCAGACAACTTGGATTTGCGTTCTGGTTATTGTATTAATGACTAAATGACCTTTGGACTGTACCTGAGTCCCAGTTGCCTCTATATAAAACAAGGAAGAATAATGTTTTGGTCTGTCTTGTGCTGCTGTAATGGAATGCTGCTGATGGAGTGATTTGTAGTGAACAGAAATGTATTTGATATTTGAGGCTGGGAAGTCTAAGGCTGAGAGCTGGGCCTCTGTCTAGGAGACCAGTAAGTGTGTAGGGGCTGGGGACAAGGCAAGTGCTGTGGTGACTCTTCGCATTTCTTCTCTGGAGTGACATTCCAAGCATGCAGGAGGAAGGTGAGGCCCTTGGGTCCCTACAAGATGTTCCTGTTAAGGGGAAGTCTGAAAAGCACTTGAATATTTCATTCTGGTGCTGAGGAGAGAGTTCTGAGCTGGAGCTGCGATGGACAGGGGTGTGATGTGGATGGAGAGGGGAGAAGAGGCCGAGCTCAGGAAACCAGGTTTGGCGAGGCAGAGAGGAGGAGCAGCCAGAAAAGGAGTCTGAGCAGCCAGAGGCAGACAAGTGGATGTGGGGCCACGGCAGAGACCTTTGTTTTGGTGCAGGGAACTGAATGTAGGGCTTTGAGCAAGAAGCACTATCCCCCTGAGGTACATTTCAGCCAAGTTTTGAACCTCGTGAACTATCCTTCTACAGGATGGGAAGAGGGGGGTGGAGATGTAGCTCAGTGATAGAGTGGTTGCAAGGGAGTGGCACACACCTATAATCCTGGCTGAGGCTGGAGGCTGAGGCAGGAGGATCTCACATTTGAGGCCAGCCTGGGCAACTTAATGAGACTCTGTTTTGAAATTAAATTTAAATTTAATTTATAAAGCGCTGGAGGCAGGGTTGTAGCTCAGGAATTAGAACTCCTGCCCAGGATGCATGAGGCCCTGGGTTCAATCCCAGTATTGCCAAAGGGGTAAAAAAGGAGAAATTAAAGCTTTTCTTAGACAAATAAAAGTTGAGAGAATTTTTTGATGGTAGATCTGTCTTGCAACATGTGTTGAAAGATGTTCTTAATAGAAAAGGAAAATGATACAGATCAGAAACTCGGATCTCTTTGAGGAAAAGAATGTTGGAGAAGGAATAAATGAAGATTAAAATATAAAACTTTTAAGCCAGTATGGTGTTGCATACCTATAATCCCAGATATTCTGTAGGCTGAAGCAGAAAGGTTGTAAATTGGAGGCCAGACTGGGCAACTTAGTGAGACTGTGCCTCAAAAAATAAAGAAAGGGGTTGGAGATGTGGCTCAGTGATAGAATGCCCCAGGTTTGACCCCCAGCACCACAAGAAAAAAAAAAACCCTTATTTATCTTATGCTTAATTGATCTAACAAATAACAGTTTGTTCAAAATAATAGCAACAATGTATTGATGTATGTATGCATACTGTGGAATGATGACCCCAGAGTATGGGGTAGGTGGAGGAATTAGCAGGGTGTCGGTTATTACAGTTAGTCACACTACTGGAGAAGTGGTGTAATGTTATTTGAAAGAGGATTTCTATTAATTGGAAGTGTATATTGTAAGCTTTAGGACTACCACTAAAAGAAATGTAATGTTATTCTAAGAAAGAAGAGAAAACTGAATCATAAAATGTTCAATTGAAACTACAAAAGGCAAAGAAGAGTTGAATGTAGAACTAAATAAGGACAACAAATAGAAGACATTGATCCAACAATATCAGTAATCATTTTGAGGTCTAAAAGCACCAATCACAAAACAACATCCAGCCAACTGTATGTTGTCTTTCAAGGGACTCACTTAACTATAAGAAGAAATATATGAACTAAAGTAAATGAATAGAGCAGGTGCTGTAGTCTATGCCTGTAATCCCAGCTACTTGGCAGGCTGAGGCAGGAGGATTTCAAGGCTAGCTTGGGCAACTTAGAAGACTATGTCTCAAAATAAAAAATAAAAAGGGCTGGGATGTAGCTCAGTGATAGCATGAGCCTGAGTTTGATCCCCAGTACTGCAAAATCCAAGAAAAACCTAAAACAACAACAAATAAAACAAAACAAAAGTAAATTGATGGAGAAAGTTATACCATGCTAACACTAATCAACAGAAAACAGGAGCAGCTGTATTAATTTCATGTTGCAGTTGCCAGAACAAGGTAATTCACTGAGGATAAAGAGGCCCATTATTGCCAAATGACAGAAAGGTCAGTTCTCCGAGAGACACACTGGGCCTTCACTTGTATGTCGCTAAAAATAGCACCAAGGCACAGGAGGCAAAAACTGGTAGAGTTGCAAAGAAAAACAGATGACCTATTGTCGTTGGAGATCTCAACACCCCTCTCTCAGAAGCAGACAGATTCAACAGGCAGAAAATCAATCAAGTCATAATTAAACTCAACAATACCATTAATCTACTGGATATAATGGATACCTATAGACTACTTCACTCATCAGTAGCAGGAAAACATCTTTCTTAAGTTCACATGGAACATTCACCAAGATAAACCACATTTGGGGTCACCTTAAATTTTAAAATAGAAATCAGTAACAGAAAGGTAGTGGTAAAGTATAAAAATGCTTGTATATTAAATAAAACATTTCTAATTAATAAATGGATCAAAGAAATCATAGAATTTTTATGAAAATGTGTGGGATGCAGTGAAAACAGAGGTAACAGGGAAATTTATAGCACTGAATGCATATACTAGAACCAAAAAAGATTTCAAGTCCATCATCTAAGCCTCCATATTAGGGAGCTAGGAAAAAAAAGAGCAAATTGAATGCAAAGTAAACAGAAGACAAGAATTAATAAGTTAGAATACAAACCTATGAATTGAAAATAAAATCCATAAAGAAAATAATATCAAAAGCTGTTTCTTTAAAAATATTGGTAAAATTGATAAACCGTTACTGATGGTTAATGAGAGAGACAGAGACAGAGATAAAGAACTCAAACTGCTAATATCAGAATGAAGGGGGAAGTCCCAGATGTTGCTCAGTGGTACAGTGCTTGCTTGGCACATGTGAGCCCCAGCAGAGGGGGAAGTGAAAGAGGAGTCATTACTACAGACCCCGTGGGCATGAAAGCATGACAGAGGAATGTTGTCAACAACTCTGAGACCACAGATTTGATAACCTAGACAAAACTGACAAATCCTTGAAAGACATAATCTAAAGGCACACAAGAAGAGATAGTCTGAATAGGTTTGTTCAGTGATGGCAAAC